TTGGATTCTCTGGAAACATGGGAACCACAGAGAGGGAAAGCACCTCTGAATAGGTATTTCAAAAATCAAAGTTTGGCCCATTGTTAAATAATTCAGGTCCACGTGAGATCCCTGTGGCCTGGGATAAGGGGCAGTTAGAAGCTACATGAGCTACATGAACAGAACAGAGACATCAACAACTGCACATCAAGGGGGGAGACAATATTTGAAGTTTAAATTTGGTAATATTAACTCTATTAAAACAAAAGCAACAACAAGAATCCTCCAAAGGCACTAATAGAATTCAGAGCCACTGTGATTTATTTTATATAATGTCCAGTTTGATTTTCAACCCAAAGTATTAGACACAGTAAGATTCTGGACACTGTGATACATTTCAAGAAAAATTAAAATTCAGTCAATAAAAAAGAGTGTGATTTAGATAAGTGATTAGATTGATACAATAAATAACTACAAAAATTAGTAAAAATATGTGAAGAAAAATATGGTTTGTATCCATGTGTAAACATGTAAGTATTCTAAGAATTAAAGCTAATTTAAACAATAAAAATTTTAGAGCTCAAAAAGTAAGCAAATTTATCAACACATTGAGTCTATCAGAAGAAAAGGGCTAGTGAACTTGAATAAAAATTGGTAATATTTTCATTATTGCAATCATAGAGAAAATACATATTTTTTCAAACTTTAAGTTCAAGTGTACAAGTGCAGGTTTGTTACACAGGGAAACTTCTGTCATGAAAGTCTGTTGCACAGATTATTTCATCACTCAGGTATTAAGCCTAGTACCCATTAGTTATTTTTCCTGATCTTCTCCCCCTACTCATCCTTCACACTCCAAAAGGCCCCAGTGTCTGTCGCTCCCCTCTGTATACCCAGATGTTCTCACTATTTAGCTCCCATGTATAAGTGAGAACATGTGATATTTAGTGATCTGTTTCTGTTTGAGTTTGCTAAAGATGATGGCTTCCAACTCCATCTATGTCCCTATAAAGGACATAATTTCATTTTTTTATTATAGCTGTATAGTATTCCATGATGAATATGTACTACATTTTCTTTATCCAGAAAATGGCCATTTAGGTAGATTTCATGTCTTTGCTATAGTGAATAGTGCTGCATTGAACATACGCATGGATGTGCCTTTATAATAGAGTGATTTATATTCCTTTGGGCATATGCCCAGTATTGCTGGGTCACGTGGGGTAAATATTAAAGAAAAATCCGAAATGATAAATAAATATATTCCAATTGTGTTTGAAAAACATTCATATGCAAGTTCAAGAAGCTCAACAAACATCAAGCAGGATAAACACTAAGAAAATACCTTTGCATCAGGTCAAAGTCAAAACCCTGAAGTCTGAAGATAAAGAGAAAATCTGGATACTCTGAAAAAGAATAATATATTGCTTATAAGGAACAACACTATGATTAATAGCTGATATTAACAATTATGAAGATCAGAGAGCATTGGAATAACAAATTTAAAGCAATGAAATAAAAAGTCAAAAAAATTATATAAATAACAACTCTCCTTTAAAAAGCAAGGTAAAATAAAATATTTTTAAATAAACAAAAATGACATGGCCAGCTGTTAGTAATATTCCCTACTGTAAATTAAAGAAAAATCTTATGTCTGAAGGAAAATGTTAACAGATAGCAACTCAGATGTATATGAAGAAATGAAAAGCACTAGAAATAGTAAATATGAGAATAAGTGTAAACAGACACATATATACATATACACAGAGTTCTTTTATAAATTAAGGGAAGAAAAATGCCTTCTTATTTAAAGCAAAATATAACTTTTCTTTTATAAAGTTTTAAAATTTAATATATATGATAATAGTTATTAGCACTGAGGTTAGGCATGGATTCATATTGCTTACAAGCCTCTTTATTTTATCTGAAATATTTCGTTATTAAATCTAAATATATTGGGATAACTTAAAGATGCATATCATGACTTTTAGAACAACCACTGAAACGTTATGCAATAAGATGCAGCTCAATGAACAATTGGATTATATTAAAATATCATTTACAATAGCATTAAAAACCATAAAACATTAGAAATAAATGTAATTAAAATGCTTTATACTAAAATTTTAAAAACAGTGATGACAAAAACCAAGTAAGACCATATAAATGGAGAGATATACTATTTGTACTCCTGGCAGACCCAATATTTTAAATATAGCAGTTCTCTTGGAATTATCTATAGCTTTAGGATGATTTTAATAAAAATAGCAGTAGATTTATTTGTTGACATCAATAACCTAATTTTAAAATATTTTGAAATTCAAATAACCTAGGCTATCCAAGACAATTTTGAAAAGTAACTATTTCAGGAGACTCAAACTGTTCTCATATCTTACTGTAAAACCCCATTAGTCAATACAGCTTGATATTGGAAAGCAGCATTTTCTAGAAATATATCTACATGTATATTTGTAGGCCAATAACTTTGACTAAGTTACCAAACAATTCAATAGGAAAAATATTTTTAACGAATTGCACAAGAGTAACTGGTCGAGCATATGGGTTAAATGAATTTTGATATCTACATCACATAATCTACAAATAATACTTTGAGGCATCATGGACCTACATGTAAAATATAAAACTATATAGAAAGTAGCAGAAAAAAATAGGAATATATCTTTTAAAATTTTATGTGGAAGCCAGCTTCTAAAATGGCTCCCAATAATTCCCATCTTCCGGTATTCACAAGCTTAGGTTACCTCTTCTTGAGAGGGGATTGAATTAAGTGGCTGATTTTGAATAAATAGAATACTACCACATCTAAGATTAGATTACGAAGGAGTATAACATTCGGTTTGGCTTTTCTTGCTTGTGATCTCTGCGGAAACAAGCAGCTATGTTCTGAGGCATTATATAGAGAGGCCACAAACTGAGACCATCAGTCCAACAGCCTGGTAGGAGCTAAGTCCTGCTAATATCCACATGCCTGAGCTTGGATGTGAATCCTTCCTTAGCTGACCCTCGAAATGACCTCAGCCCTATCAGACCCCTGCAAGGCAACTTTGTAAAACAACAACAACAACAACAAAAACTGAGCTGTGATAAGGGTCTTTGACCCTAAGAAAATCTGTATAATAAATATTTCCTTTTAGTTATAATAAATTCATTTTAATAAATGTAAACCATGGGATAATAAATATGGCTTTTTTAAGATGCTAAGCTTTGGTACAGTCACATAGTGGTAGATAACTAATACACTTGGAATAAGCTATTTTAGGCAGGACACAGAACACACAAGTCAAAAAAGAAAATAAAAGTATCGACTTCATTGAAATTTAAAAATTCCGTTTCTCAAGAAACCATTAAGAAAATGAATAGACAGATCACAAACTGCCAGGAATTGAAACTACGATGGGATGCCACTGCTATTCACTGGTGTTATTTTAAAACTTAAAAGACAACATCAAATAGAAAAGGTGGAATAACTTGACTCTCATATATTGCTTCTGGGAATAAAATCATGTTACAAATACATTAGAAAATAGTTTAGGCCAGGTGTGATGGCTCATACTTGTAATCCCAGCATTTTGGGAGGCCAAGACAGTTGGAACACAAGGTCTGGAATTCAAGAACAGCCCAGCCAACATGGTAAAACCCTGTCTCTGTTAAAAATACAAAAATTAGCTGGGCATGGTCGCATGCCTATAATTCCAGCTACTTGGGAGGCTGAGGCATGAGAATTACTTGAACTCAGGAGGCGGAAGTTGCAGTGGCTGAGATTGTGCCACCGCACTCCAGCTTGTGTGATGAAGTGAGGCTCTGTCTCAAGACAAAACAAACAAACAGAAAATGATTTGGCAATTCATTAAAAGACAAATAGACTTTTACCCTATTATATGCACCAATTCTACTCTGTACTACAGTGAGCAGTGTTTCCCCCCAAATTTATGTTTAGCTGGAACCTCAGACCGTTACCTAATTTAAAAATAGAATATTTACAGATGTTTTAGTTAAAGATTTTAAAATAAAATCATCCTGGATTTAGAGCGGTCTCTACATTAATTGACTAGTATCTTTATAAGGGAAAGGAAAAGAAAGATTTGGAAACAAAGACTTCTAAAAGTAGGCCACATGAAGATGGAAGCCAACACTGGAGTGAGACAGCACAATCCAAGAAATTTCAAAGATTGGTGTGAGTTCCCAGAAGCCATGAAAAGGCAAGGCAGGGTTCTTCCCTAGAACCTTCAGAGGAACATGGCTCTGCCAACACCATGATCTCAGACTTTTGGCCACTATGAGAGAATAAATTTCCACTATTTAAGCTATAAAGTTTGTGGTAATTTGTTATAGAAATCCTAGAAAACTAATACATACTTTCAGGTATTTACCCAAGATAAAGGAAAATATATGTCCACAAGCAGACTTGAACACAAATGCTCATAATGGTTTTATTCATAACAGCCAAAAACTGTGAGCAATCTAAATGTTCCTTGACAGCAGAATGGATACATAAATTGTGGTATATTTATATGATGGAATACCAATCAGTATATTAAAAACCCACAAACAGACAAAAAAATCCTCACTATGAACACATGCAACAACACAAATAAACCTCTAAACATATGTTGAGTGAAAATAAAACCAGTCACATAGGAATATCTTTGTATGATTTTATTTATATGAAGCATTAGAATAGGCAATCAGAACTTTGGTTGCCTCAGCAATAGTGGGAGGCATAATTAATGAGAAATTACATGAAGGAAATTTATGGGGTGATGGGAATGTACTACTCTGAAAAGAGTGTGAATTATGCTAGTAAAACATTTATGATTTGTGCATTTCTCTGTGGAGAAATTATATCTAGATTACATCGAAAATAGTTCAGTTAAAAAGCAAGAAACATTTTGTAGCACAAAAGTAGATAATACAAGACAGTGTATGCTAGAACATAAGAGTGCGAGCCAGAATGCAAACATTGTTTTAGGCAATATATGGTGATTTTTTTTCTTTTTCCAACTGAATTAGTCTTTTTTTTTTCTCTTGGTAATCTCTTCCAGTTAACTATTTCCATTGTAGGTGATGAAATGAGTAAGGCTCCACTTCAGATGTGGTACTGCCATGAGCATGGCCTTTCCTTTTAATGCAACTCACAATCAAATCATTTGATTCTTTTTTTATATTCCAGTCGCAGAAGTAGTTTCCACCATAGAAGTTAATTGATGAGTCTTGTTCTTTCTAGTGGTAGCTTACAACCAGGCTCTAGCTTCTCCAGGAACACTATGGGATGAATTTAGTTTAAATATGTATTAAACTAAAAGGCATTCTGTTAAATGAGATTAAATGCATTTCATTTTCAGACAACCTACGTGACAGGTTTTTCTTAAAAACAATGCCTCCACTCCAAGTAAATAATGGTGAAAATAAATGAAAAGCTCTAGATGTCATTAGTCCCATTTGTCTTAAGTCCTCGTGTTGTGTGGATGACAAGCAGAAGACAGTTATGATGGCAAGTGATAGATCCAAAGTAGTTGCCAAATTCATTAACATTTTTCCATTTCTAAACCATCCTTAAAGAAAATCATATATGGGGTCACACCATCCTCACAGTAGTCCAGTAGAGCAACCAGGCCATCTGGATTCATGTTTTCACCAATAACGAACTGGTAGTTTTTAAAATTAGCAAGGATGTGCTTGATTTGTTCTGCAGCCCCTGTCATAAAAGGTTTTACTCTTTCTGGTCTCTGTTCTTCAAGTTTGCCTTTGATTGATTTCATGTAACCTTTGACATACTTCTTGTAGGCTTCTTTTGTGAAACGTGTTTCCTGCAGGTGATGGTTCATGACAATATCAACACCAGTTATTACTGTGCTTTTGGTATATCATATTACCTTCTGTCCTATTGACCATCTTCCCCTCCAACTGCAGGCACAGCCCATCTGCAGTCTCCTGGATTTGGTAGATATCAGAGAATATCTCATCGTAGCTGATGAGGTCCTGGTAGATAATCATGATGGTGGCTGAAGGAAGACTAAGGTGGCGCTAGCTTAGCAGGAGCCCTAAGCTCAGAGAGCGCATGGTGCAGCCCAAGTGGTGTTTGCGCGTAGGGGAGGGTGGCCGGAAAAGGGGCGGAAAAGCATGTGTGTATTCCGGCTCCCAGTCTTATGTTCTAGCATACACTGTCTTGTATTTTATATTTTTGTGCTACAAAATATTTTTTTCACTTTTTAACTGAAGTATTTTCAATGTCATTTCGATATAATTTTTCCATAGAGAAATGCACAAACCGTAAGTGTTATACTAACATAATCCACACTCTTATCAAAGTGGAGAACATTCCCAGCACCCCATACATTTCCTTTATGTTATTTCCCATGCTGTTAGAGCAGCGAGTTTGCATCCAGAATTTAGCTTGACCCCCACTCTAATCTTTCATATCTGTGTGAACTTGTGAATGGTACATAAACTCTCTGAACCTCATTTTTTCTTATTTGTAAATTGGGATGTTTATACCTACATTCCACATACACAGTAGGACATAATGAAATAAAATAGTGCATATAAAGTGCTCCGTGATTTGTAGACATGATACAGTAAATCTTCGCTTCAAAGACTCTCAGATTTCCCATGAGTAATGGAGTACTGCTAGTGTATATCAAAGTTAATTTTCACCAATACCTGCATAATGAAGATGTTGAGTAAATAGGGCTTGGATGGAAAATAAGAAAGCAAATGGACAATGCAGGCATGACAAGGAAAGCATAAATAATATTTTCTAACACAAATAGTACCCAACTCAGTTTTGTTTGGGAATATATCTGGAATATAGAGACAGGATTATAAGTAATTCCTCTCTCAAGCATTATTTATTGAACACATCCTATGTTTCATAAAGGATTCTAGGTACTGGAGATTACAACAGTAAGTCTATTGGATAAGGTTCCAACCAACATAGAGCTTATATGCTAGTAGTGGTAGACAGAGACTGTATATAAATATGCCCCAAAAACTAACCTAACAAACCAGGTAATAAAACGTTCTGAGTTACTAATGAAACAGGTACTGAGTTAGAGTGAGACAGAAGATGTAAAATAAGTTGAGTTTTTTGGTGAAGGCTTCTATAAGGAGGCGCTATTTAGGCACAGACCTTTACAAAAAGAGTAATCCTAGGGGCTGTAATGAACAAAGGCTAAAATATTAATGGCTTAGTGTATTAGTCAGGGCTCTCTAGAGGGACAGTACAACTAATAGGATATATATATATATACACACACATATATATGTATGTATATATATGTATATATATAAACTGATAGAATACATATATAATATAAATATTTCTACAGACATAGATATTTAGATATATATGATATAAGAACTGATAGGATACATATATCCTATGCCAGTCAGTGGGCTGGGAAAGGCAGAACCACTGCTTAATCTGGGTTGGCACCATCTAAATCAGCTGCCAGAGAATATAAAGCAGGCAGAAAAACATGAAAGCCTAGACTGGCTAAACCTTCCAGCCTGTATCTTTTTCCCATGCTGGATGCTTCCTGTCCTTGAACATCAGACTTCAAGTCCTTCAGCTTCGGGATTCGAACTGGCTTCCTTGCTCCTCAGCTTACAGACAGCCTATTGTGGGACTCTGTGATCATATGAGTTTAATACTCCTTAATAAACTACTATATATATATATATATATATATATATATATATACACACACACACACACACACACACACACACACATATACTCCTTAATACACTACTATATACACACACATATGTATATTCCTTAATAAACTACCCTTTATATAGACAGACATAGATATATATGATATAAGAACTGATAGGATACATATATATACTGATAGGATCAGTTCTTATATCATATATATCTATATATCTATGTCTGTCTATATAAAGGGTAGTTTATTAAGGAGTATATATATGTGTGTGTGTGTGTGTGTGTGTGTGTGTGTGTGTGTATGTGTATATATATATATAGTAGTGTATTAAGGAGTATTAAACTCACATGATCAGAGTCCCACAATAGGCTGTCTGTAAGCTGAGGAGCAAGGAAGCCAGTCCGAATCCCAAAGCTGAAGGACTTGAAGTCCGATGTTCAAGGACAGGAAGCATCCAGCATGAAAGAAAGATACAGGCTGGAAGGTTTAGCCAGTCTAGGCTTTCATGTTTTTCTGCCTGCTTTATATTCTCTGGCAGCTGATTTAGATGGTGCCAACCCAGATTAAGCGTGGTTCTGCCTTTCCCAGCCCACTGACTCAAATGTTAATCTCCTTGTATTGTTCAAAAGCACTGAGATGGGAAAGAGCTTGGTGTACCTGCAGAGCAGGACACAACCAGGGTTGGGTGGAATTGCTAAAAAAAAAAAAAAAAAAAAAAGCGCATGGTTAACATGTTAGATCTCTCAGACCAGGGAAATGACTTCAGCCCAAGCTTCAGTAAACTTGTGTGATTTTCTGTGCTTAAAGGATCACACTCCAATGGTAGAGGCACGTTCGAATCAGGGAGCATTTTCACAAGCATCTTATGGAGTGAATAGTATTTTCTAATCCACAGTAATGGGAGTTCCATGAGGATTTGAAGTGGGCACTGACAGGAGTTGGACTCCAGGCCAGTTAGTCCTGTCTCTAGTGCAAGACAGACCTTTGGAAACCAATGTAATTCTTCAAAGTTGACAACTTATTTTTTAGAGATGGTTCTTAATTATAAGCATGCATGAGGTTAAGATAACAGCCTAAAAGCCTTAATCTTACTGTCAGTTCCTCATAAGAAAGTAAATAATATATGTCCAGAGGAACAGAGATTGTTTTGGCCATTGCAAAAATCATCTGTTTGGCTCAGAACAACAGAAAGTAGACAGATCCAAAAGCATACTGACTCTGACTTTGTTGGCAAAATATTCATTGGAATTCATAAAGAGACATCATTACAAGTAACACCCTATACTTATTAGGGAGGCATTGCAATCAGTGTCTTCAGAGTTACATTGATAATATACCGTATAACAAACTATACTCCTCTGGAATTCTATACCCTTCCTTTTATCCTCTAACATTCTCTTCTATCCTTACTCTCAGATGATGATGATTCTGCTCACTAATTCTCAAGAAAAATAGAAAATGGAAGACATCTTCACAAACTCACACACTTCTATAAACATTAGTATATGTATAGATGTGTTTTACCTTACCTCCTGTTACCTTGTATGAAGTCTGTTCGTTGTAAGCCTGCTCCACTCACAGTCTTCCCTGTTTAAGAGGTAAATACATTTTCCTTCCTGCACAGATCATAAAATGCAGAATCATTTTGAATCTTTTTTCATATCACACATCCAATTCATTGTCACCCTCTAAAACTGGTTGACTCTACCTTTAAAATATCTAGAATGCTGCCATTATAATTCAAGCTATTATTTCTAGCCAAGATTATTACAAGGACTTTCAAGATGGTCTTTTAGCTGTTCTTCTGCTCCATCTACAACAGGGGTTCTCAACTTGGGGTCATTTATTCTTCCCCAGGATCACTTGGCAATGTTTTGAGACACTTGGTTGTTATAACTGGCAGGCAGAAGCCTATAGGCATCGGGTGGGTAGATGCCAGGGATGCTGTTAAACAGCCTACAATGCACAAGACAAGCTCCTTCAACAAAGAATTTTCTGGCCCTGGATGTCAATGTCACCCAGGTTGAGAAACACTGGCCTACAGTCTATCCCCAAGGCAGCAGGCTGAGTGAGCATGTGAAGGGGTGATTCTGATCAGATCATATGTCTGAGCGTTTCTTCTGGTGGCTCTTCAATACTCTCAGAGCAAAACCCCAATACTTTTCATCACCCATAAGGCCCTCAAAAATGCAATGCCCATGCTACGACCCTGGCCATATCACCATTGTCTCTTAAAGACACTGACCCTTGGGCATCTCTAGTCATTCCACCTTCAGGGCCTTTGAATTGACTATTCCTTCCAGTGAATCACACTCTTACAGGATATCTGCAGTGTCCACTCTCTGAGCTCCTTCACAACTTGTGCAGATGTGACCATCTCAGTCAAGCCTGTCCTCAATATCCCTTTAATACAGAATCATGCCCCTGCACTCCCAAATGTAATTATAGACTTTTGAATAATTGTTATTATAGATGAATTGTGCTCTCCCAAAATTCATGTGTTGAAGTTCTAATGCACAGTACCTCAGAATGTGATTGTATTTGGAGACAGAGTCTTTAAAGAGGTAATTAGGTTAAAATGAGGTTATTAGAGTAGGCCTTAATCCAGTATGCCCAGAGAGGTGCATAGGAAAGATGATAGAGGACAGCAGGAGAAAGTGAATAGTGTACAAGTCAAGGTAAAAGGCCTCGGGAGAGACCCCAGAATCCTGCTGACACTTTGATTTCAGACTTCTAGCTTTTAACATTGTGAGAACATAAATTTCTCTTGTTTAAACCACTCACTTTATGGTTCTTTGTAGCAGCAGCACTGAGAAACTATTAGGTTGATTCAAAAGTAATTGTGGTGTTGCCGTTATTTTAATAGCAAGTGCTTTTGCACCAATCTAATAACATAGTAACTATGACCTTCTAACAGACCATACAATTTTGAGTCACATCCCTTGCTTAACTGTTATTGCTCTACCTTGATTATAATCTCCATGAAGGCAACGACTTTGTTGATTTCAGATATGTAAATTTGCTCTTTCCCAAGACCTATAGTTTGCAAATGAGGAAAGTCTGACACGAGAAATGTATATGGTTTGCCCAAGGTTGTAAAGCTGGTGAATGAATGGCAGAGGCGGCACAAACTCCAGATTTCCTGATGCAGACTTTTGCAGGCCCTCTTTCAAACCACATAGTTGCCTTGGCCTAGAGGATGGAGAAACATTTGACTGAAGCTATTACAACAGAAAATCTCACATTCATCATCCACTACCATACACCTCCACCCATACACACACATGGGCAATGAAAATGAGCAGCCAAAACCACTCCAATTTTAAGAAATACAC